CACGCTTGTATGTTTGGGGATGGTAAAATCATGTATTAGGAATAAACACAATGTATTCAGCTCGCCAAGGTTGCTCAATACAATCCAAATGCAGGATATTTACCATCCCCAAACACATTCGCGTGACATTCATGCGCAACCAGATTTTCAACTAGTTTCAGTTTGGTCTGTCAACGAACGAAAGTTGTTATGCATTGACACTTAAATATATATATATTACGTGGGTAATAAATAAAATACCATACTCATTCTCGTGACATACCATTTTAACGAAACTCGTGAACTTTCTATGGTAGGTGACCTCGCTTTCGCTCGGTCAGATACTATAAAGTCCAGTCGTTTCGTAAAAATGGTATCTAACGAGAGAGAGTGTAGTATTCTATATATTCCTTGGTTTAAGGAAACTGAAACACAATCACCATTATCTGCAGTTTGTTAACTTTGTGTAATGTGTGTTTTTATGATGACGCAAAATGAAAATGCAGATTTGGTATGAAAAGCAAGCTGTTGAACCCAAAATATCACAGCTCATAGAAACGTGCTAGCAAGATTGCCAGTGTTACACAACAGTCTACTCAACTGAAGATAGAGATCACTTAAATACAATTATCTACTCCGCTTAAGGGAGACTACCCTATATACGCATAGGTTAGACTACGAGGATCTAATGTCTTATCGTTGAAATGGTTAATTAAACCACGAGGCGCTAACATACTTAAACCATGTCCAACATTTATAGCATCGAAAATGTTTTAAAAACATTGTTTTTCTAAAGGTATTTTGAAAGATATTTCGCACGTGCACCTCGCACTTTGCCGATTTGCGTTATAAAATGCATATCCCGGGGCAAGTGTACCATTCACTTTGGACCAACTCGAGCACTTTTATCAATCACCTTGATATAACTTGCCCAGTTTGATGGGCCTATTATAATCAAACATAGCCCTGGTCAAGTAAATATTTAGTTGTTAATTTCGCACAATTTTTCCCATGTCACCGTGGCAGAAGACTACATTCGTTAGCCTTCCGTGCGACTCCGTGGGTTCGAATCCCGCTGGCGACAAGAGTTTTTCATGAAATCGTTCTATCATCAAGATAACGTATATGGAAAAAGAAGTTCCGTCATTGCCAATTGGTGTTTAACTAACAATTCAGTTAGTTAGACCACGATCAAAGACAAAGGAGTCATAGTTTAAAACGCACTACTCAACTGAGGACAAACGACCCCTTTACACAATACACCATTGAAGGCAGACAACCATATACACAAAGCTCTATTTCACAGAAGGCAGCCGACCCTGCATGCATCACTTTACTCCATAGAATGCACACAACCTTATCCATAATGCTCTACTCCACTTAAGGGAGACAATACTTTTTACAACTTTCTACCCAAGTAAAGACAAACAACCCTATTCACAACACTCTGCTCCATAGACGAAAAACAATTCTATATGCATCGCTTAACTCCATTGAAGACAAAGAACCAATATATACAGCACTATGCTCTATTGAAAGCAGACAACCCTACATACAACTCTGCATGAACTCTGAAGGCAGACACCCTTGCAATTGTAAACAACACTCTGCTCTAATGAATGCAGATACTCTTATATACACCATTTAACTTCACTTAAGGCAGACAACACCTATATACTTCACTCTGCACAGACAGACAACCCTGCATACATCACTGTACTCCACTGTACTCCACTGAATAAGACAACCCCTGTATAACACTTTACTCACCTGAGGTAAGACAACCAATTTGTACAACACTCTACTCAACATGAGACAGGCAACCCCACACACAACACCCTGCTCCACTGAAGACAAACATCTCTTGTATACAATGGTCTACTCCATTGAATGCAGATAATCCTTATATACTAAACGCTTTTCCAATGAAGGCATTAAATACAACGCTCTGTTACCCTAGCTTTATGAACTGCTGTAAATGCTCTGTGAATGCTTTTTCAGTTTAGCGTTTACTAAGATAAAGGTGCCATCGAGAGCTCATTTCGGTAAGAGGCTAACGTTTTCGTACTACCTTAACTCTCTGAAACTGCTAGAACTGTAGACGTTCCATCCCCGAATACTAAACTATGACGTGATATTACTCACGGACGTTTACCCAGTCTTCAAGCTACCAAGAACCTTATGTCATTATACATATATATACAGGCTAATATTCAGACTATTTGATCAATCTTAATGACAGCCAATTTACATTAGGGAAATAATCTGGCCAGAAGTTCTTGAGACAATGTCAGACAAATGAACAATTTACAGGTGTCGAGTTTAACGATTTGCAACAACATACTCGTATATATGAGCAAAACAGTATGCATCATATGTTAACAGTTTACAATGAATATTATTTTCGTCATAGAGAAATCTTTCTCACAATTTTTACTCATCATGTCACCTGATGAAGCACATTAAACATATGCAGTGTATAACTGGATACTATTACAATAGTATACAGATAAGGAGGATCTATGTAAAAGCAACAACAGATCTATTGTTTCTTTGAGAATGTAATAAAACAATCTGCATTACATCCAGGCAACACTCGACACCTAACATAATATATCGGGATCAACATTTTCTGACATACTTCAAGTGGGTATGGTGAAATGGGGCTAAGCGTCGCGGCGTTCATGTATTTGTGTGTGCGTGTGTGTGTTGTGTGTGCCAGACCGGAATAATGCTGGGTGTATAGTGCCAGTCCACCGAGATACAAATGCCACATTCCCCATGAATACCCCACTGACACAGAACACTCCGAGCCGACCAGTCCTTGTTTTATCCCTTCAATGCACAAATCACAAAAACAACAGCGGGAAACATGTTACAACGTGTGGATGAGGTAGGGCCATGACTAACTACAGACCAGGTAACACGTAATGAATACGACGTCCTTTATGGCGGTGGTGTTTATCTGATTGTGACAATGTTCCAACTACACTGATCATCGTCTACGATCTTGGGTTGCGAATACAAATAATTTAACCTACCTGTATGCCTAGTCCTTAACACCATATCATCTTCACAAAGTTTTCTTCAGGAAATGTTAGAAGAATACAACAAGTTAAGACATGTATTTTCGGGAGGTTGATCACAATTAAAAATTAAAGATGGAAAATTCAATTGAAACAAAAACTAATATTGAATGAATGTGCAGCCGATTACATGTTTTTTATGCAATCTATAATTGTACATGTGAGAGTTATCTCGTCGCATAGAACATAGATCGCCTTCAGTTTAGAATGCTACAAACGTTATTACGTAAGGAATTATTTCGAGAGTTGCATTATGTGATATCACCAAGGGGAACGTTGTTTTTAAGACCGAGGCAAGGTGGAGAAGTTGATAAATAGCATGTTAAATTCCACAGTTGATACGTTTGGCAGATCCGGGTGGGCCTGGCTGGTTTACGTGGCTTGATTACAGAAGGAGATAAGCACACAATGGTTTCAATGCAGACTGAGTCTAAGTATGGATGTAACCGAGGTTACTTGAAATTTGAACCGATCGCGTGGTTAACCACATTGTAAACACAATTGGTTTTTCTCCATTCTACCATGACAACAAAACGCGCGAACTGTACTTCGGCTCCGATTAGATTACAAACCGAATAAATGTAGGACTCAGATCTATGGTAGGACCAGTCCAGAAATACAATGAACACTTTTTGTAACCAGACAGTGTTACAACATGATTAATTTGCACACTTCAGTACGAATTTGTTGACATGGAATTTCAGGGTTGACATGCTCATGGTAATGACTTTGTGTTGGGGGCAAAAGACATCAAAACTCATTATATGGTGTATTATGTGCCACCATATGGCTTGGCTCCCACTGGATATAAACAGCAGATACCGTATTCGACGCAATAAGCGCCGGTATTTGCTAATATGTTGGCTAGTGAACAATCTCAATTAGCACCCCTTCCGATGGATCAATGTTCACAAGGCTTATTTATTAGCGTACAAGACGCACTCATGTGTTATATGCACCCTTAATTATGGGCAATTAAATTCTAGAAAAATATGTTTGTCGTACATAGACATTTCAGGCTGTCAGTATAAACCACAAAATTTATGTTTCAACTCTGTTTTTTTTTTAAGAAAATAATATTCTAATAAGAGCCCCTATTTCTAATTTCGAGAGCGCCCTGGGCGTTTATTACGTTGAATACGGTAACTATAGATCCTTATCTGATCGTCTCAGTCAATAAGACAGCAATGATGCACGGATTAGTTCACCAGGATATAATCAGAAGTTATCTCCAGATCATCGCAGTCTGTAAGACAGTATGATATTTTATTGACTTAAGTGTGCAGGCCCCCTCTAGTGGATTCGTTATTTTAAAATTCAAAATCTTTCGACTTTTAAGCACTTAAAAATGTTACATTTTCCCATCGGCGAATTCAGGTAAACAAACAGGTGATAACAAACAAAATATAATTAGACAAGATGATTTACTGTTAAAATGTATTTCCTGTTCTACTAGGTATTGTATTTGTTTGAGATTATCGTGTGCATTTCTTGTAAACCATTGTAAACTAAGCCAGTAAGAGCAATCAGTTGTACACCCGTTTTCTCCCACTCTACCGATGAATTGGTTAGAAAGTACCCAATAATATAAGTTACATTTGTTTTATGCAATGATCGTCAGAATTGTATATGAAACTGTTATTTTATCAGGAATAATATATTTCAATATCATGTTGTTTTCATTGCAGCTTTACTATTTATATAGGAATCAGATCTATGGTAGGACGCTGGTTACAAACATAAGTCCAGATATACAATGAACATTTTTGTAACCAAACAGTGTTACTACATGATTAATTTGCATACTTCAGTACGTTTTTCACATGGTATTTCAGGTGTTACATGCTCATGGTAATGTCTTTGTGTTGGGGGAAAAGACATCAAAACTCATTATATAGTGTATAATGTGCAACCCCCTCTACACCGCTGTGTTTTTTTTTACAAGATGTGCACACTGTACTCAGGAAAATATGGTAATGATGCACGGTTTAGTTCACTGGGACGCAACAGCAGGTATCTTCAGATCAACATCCTAGTTTCGTTGACCTGGCAAGGGAGTGTGTCTTTATGTTTGTTGTCTGCAGTCTGAAGTACTGATAATGAATGTACTACTGGTCAACCATAGAACTGAATGTTGTTATTTCCAATGTTTGATGCTGATTCTGTGACTTACCACAATCTCTTTTGCCAGGGCAACGTCTACCTCCTGACACAGATGACCGGCTGGTACGGCTCAAGGGTTCTGTACTTTGGTGACCATGTGTACAGTGATCTTGCTGTGAGTAGTGCGGATAAAGGGAGCGAACTCTGTAGTACTTCATGTACAGGGAGAAAGACATTATGATACAGTACTATACTTCTAGCATTAAATTCAACTAAAAGTTTTAAACAATTTCCAAATGCGAGAGTGTTATTACAGAGGTCACCATCACATGTTGTCTTGACCAGACTTGATTATTTGCAGGCCGACACTTCAGGGTTGGTTTGTTGCTGACGCTGACAATGCTTTCTGTAGACATGTATAATTTCAATGATGCTTGAAGTTATCATGTTGAAATTTCAACTCAGTTGGAAAGTTTCACATACTCAACATTGTATTGAACATACATTATGTTAGTAACATATCCAAGTATCATCTGTTATCCAAACCCTGAACCCATTCGCAACTATAGCTTCGTTATGAGCAGGATCTGAATAACAGACAGTGCGTTAAATGCAGCTGTCTAATCAAACTACACTCACGAGTGAATCAGTGATAGGAGGAATGGAGCTGTTGGCATTACTTCGGAAACAAAGCTTCGGTGGCTATTGAGTCCAGGGGATATCTCATAATAGAATGGAGATGTGTGACACCCAGTAAACAAGGATGTGTTTGCTTCTTTATTTCAACTCACTTGTGATGGCATATAAAAATAGCTACAATCACAACCATACTTTCTCTCTCAGAAACATCTCAGGGCAAAGTATTACAAAGGATTAGAACCAATTGAAACTGCCCATTTATCACTATAAATCAGGAAAGCAAGAACTCCTTCTAGACAATAGGAAATGCATAACCTTTAGTGTTTACTTCAGGCTGAGATTGAACAGCAGAACGACCCTGCATACAAGTCAGCTGTGAGGTGGCTGGTATCTCTACAACAACTCATAGAAAAACATCAGGTGAGATATCATCCTAACATCATGAGTATGTGTGTCTTCTAGCTATACTAAGCTGCATCACCAGATGAAATACCATCATGTGTATGTGTGCCCTGAGTGTGACCTAAAGTCACCTTACACGACTTTATCATCTGACTACCCCTGCCACATCACTCTCTTTCTCATCACCATTGTGTAGGGACGTGCTTTGAATAAGTAGAGAAATTATTCTTGTTTTTTTAAAGGGTTTCCTCTTACATCTTATAAACATTTATGGCCAATTATGGGAAATTATCTTGATAAACGCCCGTCCTGCAAGATATGCAGACTTTCTTTTTCACCTACATACCTAAGCGATCAGACGCTTGTGTTTTTTTTCAAAACCTCATCATTGACCATCACTTCACTATCAATGGAAGAGGATGTGTTATCCGTTTCATTCTTAAAAGCTGAATGTTTACCACCTGTTTGACGAGTTGTCCTTAATCCTAACGTACTGTATCATCAAGACAGGTTACTCTATTGCATTGAGATATATATAAGAATCAAGGATCAAATTTAACTATGTTGGTTTGGAAACATGACAGTCTAGATTGGCATAGCCCTCCCTTATCTACTTCACGGAATCACGGCTCCTCTAGCCTATGGTAGGGGTAGTCAGGTGATCAAGTCGTGTAAGGTGACTTTAGGTCACACACAGAGAATTACAGTGATGTGATTTGGCAAGATGGTTTTAAATGCTTAAAACTTCAAGCACAATTCCACTTAAGTATGGAAGGAGAAGGAATAAATACATAGTTTGAGATGGGATAAGGATATATTCTAATATACATATACAATTTGATGTAAAATTTACATGCTATTAATATTGTAATATCCTTTATATGCATCAGTATGTGAGAAATCGTACAGTGTTGGTGTGGCAATCTCCCTACAGTCTTGCATACAATCAGTTGGGATATTCTTGTCATATGAGTATTGTTATATTCTTTCACACCGCTAGGTGAGAAATCATACAGTGTTGGAGTGACAATCTCCCTGCAGTCTGACATACAATAAGTTGAGACATTCTGGTCATATGAGTATAGTTATATTCTTTCACACCACAAACTGAGAAATCATAATGTGTTGGTGTGACAATCTCCCTGCAGTCTGACATACAATAAGTTGAGATAGTCTGGTCATATATGTATAGTTATATTCGTTCACACCACGAGGTGAGACATCATATTGTGTCGGAGTGACAATCTCCCTGCAGTCAGACATACAATCAGTTGAGACATTCTTGTAATATGAGTATTGTTATATTCTAATGCACCACAAGGTGAGAAATCATATTGTGTCAGGGTTACAATCTCCCTGCAGTCTGATATACAATACGTTGAGATATTCTTGTCATATGAGTATTGTTATATTCTTTCACACCGCTAGGTGAGAAATCATACAGTGTTGGAGTGACAATCTCTCTGCAGTCTGATATACAATATGTTGAGACATTCTTGTCGTACGAGTATAGTTATATTCTTTCACACCACAAGGTGAGAAATCATACTGTGTAAGATATAGAGGATGTGTTATGGTGGTTGGTAAATGCACTGTTTATCTCATTGGGCTGACAATCTCCATGCAGTCTGATATACAATCAGTTGGGATATTCTTGTCATATGAGTATGGTTATATTCTTATGCACCACAAGGTGAGATATGGAGGATGTGTAATTGTGGTAGTGGTAAATGCACTGTTTATCTCATTGAGTTGCATCATTCACGGTATTGATATTAAGGAATATTGAAAGTTAAGGTCATCCTGAAAGAGCATGTGTTCACAATATTTGGAGTATTAAAAATTTGTATTTGAGAAAACTGAGGACTCATAACCTCTTTGTTGAGACCTGGATTGCATCAGTGTTGATGTGACCTCCATATAAAGACAATGGCACCATAGCTCAAAAAAGAAACATGTTGAAAACCTTAAATATGTGGCTTTATTCTTGATTATACAAAGCATTTTGTAATCTGTGAAGAGGAATCTATAAATAACTAAATCACCAGCTGTTTGAATAAGTCATGGATGAGTGAAATCTCAATGACACTTGTTAAGGTCACTCAAAGAAATAGTTCGATGTAGTTTTTCTTTTGTGGCCACAGTCAGCAATAGTACAGCTTTTTCACATTGGCCTGTAAATAATCGAGTTGGACCAGACAAATTGGTGACTGAAAGCATGAGCAATGGTCCATAATATCAGGACATGATGATACGCAATCAGCCACATCAAAGTCCCTCGCCAACCAGTCAAGGTTGTTACATGGTTATGACCTTATACTCTCAGGAAAAAATTCTATCCAGGAAGTATTGGTAGTATGGTTTGGAGAGTTGATATTTTAGAAAATTTTATGTGAAAGCATATTTATGTGGTACTTCACATGTGAAATCATTTTGAAGTAGAGACTAAAATCATGATGATTTTGAATGGTTGATGGTTGTGTGGATCTTGAGAAACCCAACTAACAGTATTGTTTATTTCCCAGTGTCAGGACAGCCCTGAACAGAGGGAAGTGATACAGGCATGGCTGAAGGAGAGAGATGATCTCAGGTGAGGCTGTCTGAAACTATCTGGGGCCAGGCTTGGAATAGATTGTAATGTCGGGAATGAAGAATGCAGCAAAGTTTCACTTCATCATTCCATTGGGCTACCTTCTACCCATTGCAAATTAAATAAACTACTTGTTCCATATATTTGACTTCCTTTCCTCTTTTTTGATGGTTTGCAGTAAACATGAAGATGTCTTTCAAACAGTGTTCTGATAATCACCTCTTTGTGAATGTTAATTTCTATGCTTATAGTTTGGTTTATCATAGTCAGTATATTGCAACATGTGATCTTTTCAATGAGTTGAATGTTATGAATATTTCACACTTCCATATCAGTTGAATTTAATAATCATTATTTTACTTCTGTGGCAGAAACTACACGAAAGGCGTGTTCAATCCACGGTTTGGCAGTCTGTTTCGGACATACCACAATCCAACTTACTTCACTCGACGCCTGGCCCGGTTTGCTGACATGTACATGTCGAGTCTGACAAACCTGCTCCACTACTCAGTAGACCACTCCTTCTACCCACACCGAGTGTTGCTGCCACACGAACCAGGCCCCTTCTCCAAGTACTGAGTGGAAACAGTACACTGAAATAAGCATGTACTATCATGGATCAGACACATTGGTAATTCAGTATTAAAGTCCTCTTGGAAGTAATGGCCAAGTAAAAGAGCACATTGACTTTATTAGTGATGTGGAAGCATTGATGGTCTACTGCATGATTATATAGGCCTACTTATGTCATTGAAACATTTCACTAGACGCACCTGTGGACAATACTGGCATTAAAGCATTTATACTTAACTAGTGCTCGGACCTAATATTGACATTGAAGTATTCGATGGACTATTACCTGGACCTGGTACTGACATTGAAGTATTGATGGTCTTTTGCACTGGTACCTGGACCTAATACTGACATTGAAGCACTGATACTCTACTCCGTTAGTACCTGGCCCTAATCCTGACATTGAAGCACTGATGGTTTACTCCGTTAGTACCTGGCCCTAAAACTGACATTGAAGCACTGATGGTCTACTCCGTTAGTACCTGGCCCTAATACTGACATTGAAGCACTGATGGTCTACTCCGTTAGTACCTGGCCCTAATCCTGACATTGAAGCACTGATGGTCTACTCCGTTGGTACCTTGCCCTAATACTGACATTGAAGTATTGATGGTCTACTGCGTTAGTTCCTGGCGCTAATACTGACATTGAATCATTGATGGTGTACTGCATAAGTATCACAATATTTCTACGAATCCTCTGAAATGATGCCCTTTTTTCTCTGCAAAAGATCCAATACTTTTGCCAAGATATGTACTTCTGTGTCAATGTATGTAATATATTTTACCTATCCTAATCAGTGGCGGATCATAAGTGTTGACCAATTAACCCTCAGTTGTATGAATCTCATTATAACGTGACAAATGTGACCCTGTTCATTATGGTAGCTTGAAGTAGAACATTTCAGTATTAAAAAGGACCAATGGTTGTTGTTTATCGTACAATAAAGCACTGCCCCTCATGGTTTATTTTCCCTGCAGTGTTTTATTGAATGATAAACAATGACAATGACTCATTCATTTCTTATATGAGATATCAACAATATGTACGGCCTGTTTAAAAATGATGATAAAATGTACAAGCTTTAAAAATATTTACCCGTATTTAAATAATGATGACGCCCTCAATAGAATGTCCATTTTAATAGTCATGATCATCGTCGTTTTTTAAAGAAGATGTTAGTCATTAAATCAATCTGATGTGTTAGATAATACATGTGATACTAAAACAGATACGTTTAGAACATTGTGTGTGGTAGCACGTGTTGATAATACACTGGATGTACTCATCAGCAAATGATGCAGAGTGCATCACAGTATTATGATTCACAGTCTGTCCTCGACATCAGTTAATTCAAGGTATAAGTTTAGTGTATTATGAGTTGTTTCCTGATAACAGAAGATATCCCCATCGTTTTTTTCTGTTAAAATGGTGATGAGTCCATGTGTAGGTATTAAGACTGTTATATAGATCCCTAACTTACTCAACATTCATGTATATATGCATTAGAATCTTGTATATTGTTTTTTTTTCAAATTTTTATTTTATTTTATGAGATCAGCAGAAATCAAATGCAATAATAGAAGTCAACACAACTTTATCTTTGTTAGATTACTTGGTTCATGGATGACAAAACAATTCAACTGTTCTCAAAAACATTAATTGAAAATCGAAAGTTTTACTACTTTACACTATTGACCTACTTTGATGTTTCCTTTGCTCATCCCTGCCATTGTTAAAATCGGGTCATAAGGAGTAAATTAGCTGTACCTCGAGCGTATCCTAACAAACAGCTACAATGGTGATAAGTCTCTGTGATTTTGTGCCCGACTGGTTTGGATCCTTGCTCATACTTCAGTCACTGGTTTGCATGGTCGAAACTAGATAATAATAACCCACAACTGTAGGTCTGTTTACCTCATGCTGTGGAGGTAAACACGATTCACTTAGTCACATTCAGTTCTGGAAGTAGTTGGCAAATAAATCAGTAAGGAAAACGACCTTAGAAGATCTTGTTTGGAAATGGTTTTCATCAACTTGTGCTTCTCGTCAGAGGTATCAGTGATTGTCGTCGAGGTGACATACAGATGTCATGCTCACTGACTTGGTTTATGCATGTCATCATATCCCAATTGCGTAGATCAATGCTCATGACGTCAATACCTCGATTGTCGGGTCCATACTTGATTATTTACAGCTGGGATATTGCTGAGTGCGGCATGAAACAAACAAACTAATAAAAACAGGTGTTATTTTAGATTATCATTTCTTTATGTAAACCAAGCAATTGAAAATACCATTTTGCTCTAACAAACTATGAATTGTATTAAGTCTGTGATATGTTTTAGAAAAGTGTGATTTATGTGTGATTGTTTGAAGACTGTCGAGCTGACTTTTAAGTTAAGGATAAGTTAAGTTGTAGTTTAGGCTTCTTTTTTAAGCAACGTTTTTGTTGCCATTAGTTATTATTTCAGCCAAAAATTTGTTATGCATATGCTGGTACTTCATGCATTGCAGTTTGTTTTATTGTAGGATGATTGATGTGGTTACTCTAGATCTATTGTTAATTATATGTATTTAAGTAGGAAATAAAAAAAAGATGGTAAATGACTGCACTGATTCAGATTTATGTGTACGTTTGTCTCATTGTTCTACTTTATGAATGTCTTTCATGGAGATACTTATCATAATGACAACTCAGTGTGTTCCAATGTCCACCCATTTAGAAGGAAACAAGACATATAGATCATCTAAAATAATGACAAACACAAGGTCCAGAGTGCTCCTATGTCCATCCATATAGAAGGAAACAAGACATATGGATCATCTAAACTAATGACAAACACAAAGGTTCAGAGTGCTTCTATGTCAATCCATATAGAAGGAAACAAGACATATAGATCATCTGAACTAATGACAAACTACAAGGTCCAGAGTGCTCCTAAGTCCATCCATATAGAAGGAAACAAGACAAATAGATCATCTGAACTAATGACAAACTACAAGGTCCAGAGTGCTCCTATGTCCATCCATATAGAAGGAAACAAGATATATAGATCATCTGAACTAATGACAAACTCCAAGGTCCAGAGTGCTCCTGTATCCATCCATATAGAAGGAAACAAGACAAATAGATCATCTGAACTAATGACAAGCTTCAAGGTCCAGAGTGCTCCTAAGTCCATCCATATAGAAGGAAACAAAACATATAGATCATCTAAACTAATGACAAACACAAAGGTCCAGAGTGCTCCTATGGCAATTCATATAGAAGGAAACAAGACATATAGATCATCTAAACTAATGACAAACACAAAGGTCCAGAGTGCTCCTATGGCAATCCATATAGAAGGAAACAAGACATATAGATCATCTGAACTAATGACAAACTCAAAGGTCCAGAGTGCTCCTATGGCAATTCATATAGAAGGAAACAAGACATATATATCATCTGAACTAATGACAAACTCAAAGGTCCAGAGTGCTCCTATGGCAATCCATACAGAAGGAAACAAGACATATAGATCATCTAAACTAATGACAAACTCCAAGGTCCAGAGTGCTCCTATATCCATCCATACAGGAGGTGAGGTGAAATTGGGTTTAACATCACGTTCAAGGTTATTGCACTTGTAAAGCATCCTGTATGCATGTGTGTGTCAGTGTGTGATTCCTTGTACAGCTCCGGATTTATGACGATTTTATGGTGCTATTCCACTGGGATACCATGTACAGTACACTGACTCCGAACCAACAAGTCCTTGCTTGATGTCAAGCAACAGGCAATTACAAGAACCACCTTTCAAACTCGTTGGTTGTGATGCGCCTTGGGATTGAACACCCGAACTTCCACTCTCCGGGCAGACGCTCTACCACTAAAACACGGTGGTGGTTCCATATGGAAGGAAACCTGGACATACAGATCATTAAAACTAATGGCATACTCCAAGGGACAGAATGGTCTTACGTTCCCTCATACAGACGGAAACATTAACATACTGATCATCTAAACTAATGATGAAATCCAAGCAATAGTAAGCCACTGACATTTTCATGTTTATACATGTCAGCCTTAGGCTTTCTCCGGCTAAGCTTATGAGTTGAAAAGGGAGGACAGCCTAAAGTCTTATCACGTTTAGCACAAGAGTATGCATGGATTAAACAAACGAATAATCACACACTAACCTGGGATTTGAATGTATAATCTTATCCCGGAAATTCAATTCTACTAGCGATATGTCGTCACCGTGACGACCGGGTCACCGTTACCTCTACCTAACGTACACCCAAGCATGTATCTGGTTAACCAGTGGTTGATACTGAACATAAAACCCGGTGTGGGAGACAAAAACAAGTGGTTGATACTGAACATACAACCCAGCATGTGAGAGGTTAACCAGTGGTTGATACTGAACATACAACCCAACATGTGGGAGGTAAACCAGTGGTTGTTACTGAACATACAACCCAGCATATGAGGGGTAAACCAGTGGTTGATACTGAACATACAACCCAGCATGTGGGAGTTAAACCAGTGGTTGATACTGAACATACAACCCAACATGTGGAAGGTAAACCAGTGGTTGATACTGAACATACAACCCAGCTTTGGAGAGGTAAACCAGTGGTTGATACTGAACATACAACCCAATATGTGGGATGTAAACCAGTGGTTGATACTGAACATACAACCCAGAATTAGATTTTCGTTGGATATAGACAATGAACATCTCATGCGACCTGGATCAGGCAAATCAGCGAAACTGTCTGTCTGCATGTTATGCGAGACTGTTGATGTATGTTGTTTGTATATCTCCCTGTACTCCTGTCGGTTATGTGGGAATATTTGTTGTTATGTGTAAATATTCGTTCTAAGGTTAATGAAATCCATTGGTAGTCTGTCTCTGGATTGTTTGCTCGATACAAACATAAGTGGTATTGTTCCACTGCCTGGTGTGTCCCAACACTACTTGTCATATCCGACTGTTTGTGTGTCTGAATATGCGTTATTTGGTCAGTTTGTACATCCGACGTTTGTTGTGTCATAATATAGTGATTTGGATGCCCGACTGTTGATGTTTTAGTTAACCATATGGACTATCTGTAAGTATATGTTAGGACAAGAGAAACCACGTCTTTCGTCATGGGCCTGTCACACATATTGAAATGTAGGTACATGTTTGAAGATATTGTACACTTTAACCCATCATGTTGAAAGATCATTACTAAGTGAGTGTGGTTAAGGGTCACTTCAGTATTTCAGTTATATCACGGTGTGTCAGCTTCATGTTGACTGCAATCAAGTGATGCGGGTCTTAGATGTTTACCACTTTGTTGAAACCCACGAGCAGAGGTAGAATGAATAACTATTTCAAACAACATGCAGGGCCATCAACGGTTTTTGAAATGATTTAAACAGTATTTTATTTCCATTAATGTTCAGATTTTACATTACATAACGTTACAAAATGGAAAAAGGATTAGCAAACAGACCAAAAAGGCCTATATTGATGCTTCTCCTGATATTGTTCACCATACATGTAGATTGTAATGAAGTCCATAGAGCAGACATTAATGAGTAACACAAACTGATATAAAATGGAAAGCAAGATACCCAATGCATTATATATTCTTAAGTTGACACATAACTTACGTAAAGCGGTTTGTTTCAATGATGTAATTGTGAACTGATTGTATAATGTGTTCATTGTCTGAGGGAGATGGATCTTCATTGCCGTGGAGTATAGTATGTATGCTGAGCTGGTTAACAAAAAAGTATATATCAATTCTAAACTTGGCATAGCGTGGACAAGATATAAAAAATTGGAAAGCATCTTCTCTATTTAGGCCACATGGACAGATGGGATTATCAATCAGAAATCTGTCAAATGAATGTGATTTTAAATCACTACAACCTAGCCTAAGTCCAGATAAAATCACTTGGCATTCCCAATGGCCATAACTAGCAAAAGATGTAAAATTTGAAGTAAGCTTAGTTTCTCTAGAAATTAATTGCTTAAACCGAGATAAGGAATCTACATTTCTAATATCAATATCAAGTGCATTCCAAGCTTGTGTAACAGATGGCAAAAAAGATTTTGGGAAATCATTTTAATCATATGATAAAATATATATTTAGACTATATGACATATATTTAGACTATATGACATCAATAATACAAGTGTAAGTGAGATAACGGTACATGTGATTGTGATGCTTCATCAACATCAAGTCCTATATCTCCCATAAGATAAAACTGCAAACGATGGTCAGTGTGCAAGAAGTCTTTTCAGCTGATGTTCCTGTATGTCATATTTGTAGAAGTGTGTAACTACCATATTAGTACACATAGACATTCGTCAAGCCAGTCACTTCTAACATAACATTCTGCATGAAACAAAATGCAAAATAATAATACATGGCGTGAAAACTCATGTGTACTTCACCCAACAAAAGATTACTGTGATCATATCCTCACCCATCACATTTTGATGGCAAGAAGCATTGAACTCACACAATCGAATCAAGAATTCATTCGGGCAATAGGGTTCACTCGGAAAATCAAAATTCTGCCTCTCCATTTTGTGTTTTTCACAGAAGTAAAGGTGACTTGTCTATTTATTACCAAATAAGGATTACACATGTATCGCTGTTTTTGCAAGTCCATACTTATATCATGTCAGTTTTATAGTGTTAAGTCCCTATCTTACATACACGATTTAAGAAATTGCGAACACGATTTAAGAAATGTTGAAAAATCGTGTTGATTCGTGCTCGACCTTTTGGTTTATGCAAATTTCTTAACCAAACACGACCCTCATACGACCAAAAACGACCCTCATACGACCCTCATACGACCCTCATACGACCTTCATACGACTGAACACGTTTTAAGCCGAGCTGCGACGTCCATACGACCGCGCGCGACCGACCACGACTTAAATCATTAAACGTTAAATCGGGTTCATTCGTGTTCAGATCCGTGAATGTGAGATAGGGGCTTTAGCCTACTGAGTTACCATGCCGCAGTTTAACATGGACACCCACTAAGACACAGTATAGACCCCGAGCCGACCATTCCTTGTTTTTTTTTCCATTCGGGCCTGTACATCCTAGCGCTGAAAGTTTTGACTCACGTAACGATAGGTTAATTGAGTTATTGAAACAAAACATATTAAGGTGAGGATGATATCATGATTGTTGCATGCACGTGTGTGTCTGGCTGCTTGTATGTGTGCGGACGCGCTATTTTTGTAGTACAAGCCTACTTAATGTCAAGCTCTAAGAGCGGTCTGGCAGCCTAGCGGTTAAAGCGTTCTCTCGTCACGCCGAAGACCCGGGTTCGATTCCCGACATGGGTACAATGTTTGAAGCCCATTTCTGGTGTCCCCCGCCGTGATATTGCTGGAATATTGCTAAAAGCGGCGTAAATTCATACTCACTCACTAATGTCGATCTCCAGGCATGGTAACAAGAAACACCATCATATAATGTCTTTTGGTATGACGTGGTCAGGGAATTGAAACACCGACCCCCT